AAATTTTTGCTAAGAAATATAATGGTAGTGATATGCCACCACATGAATTTAATCGATTTGCAAAAGCTTTGGAACAATTACTAAGAGATAATCCTCGATCTCCGATAAAAACAAATCGAGAACATGCCCTATTTTGTAAAAACACAATGAAAAAGAGAATTGTGTATATTTTTTGTTTTACATAGATTCTGTGTCAAAAAAGACAGATTATCCTTTTGTGATGCTTTGAGACATTAGAATGCCCACAAAGTAGCTCTATCGCCTATGATCAATATTTCATGTCATTGCCATCCAATGTGTTATGCTCCGTGTGCAACGTTGTCGCACTCTTACTTCGTTAGATCTAGCTAACATCGAGCATTGTATGCATAATCTCCCTATAGCATACGTATCTTCGACTATAAAAGCAATGTCTAAAGTATTCTGACAGTGGCTGTGGGTATGTATCTATGAATTCAGGATGTGGATGTTTGGTTGTAAGCTTGGGTACGGTTACAGCTGTGGCTGCTACACTGTAGATGTTACGATGAACGTTATTAGAATATTCGTACCCAGACAGCCTTCAGTGATTGTTTCGGCATTCCTATGTAACATATATCGTTACTTAACGCACTTTTTCATCGGAAAACATCTAGTAGTCAAACATCTTCTTTTTGTAAGAATATTTTATATGTCAGTAAAAGCTGTTACAGCATAGCAACAAAAATGCAAGTTTCATTCAAGATAAAGCACATATACTCATTTTGGGCAATCTTTCGCCAAATTAGACTATGTATTTCTAGCATCCCTAACGGTCTACATCGTTGGATGTGTTGTCAGAGAGCTCATATTCGTCTTCAATTTCCGTTTCCAGATGTGTCCAACCACGTTTTAGCATCTGCTTTATGCGATCTTCAATATCATAGTCACGTAATGCTGCAAAACGCTTGTTTTTAATATTTTTGACAACTGTTTCCAAGTCACCTAAACTCCCTAATTTACTGTGTATTAGATTAGTACACATTCCGATTCCATGTGTATAATCTTTTTCTACAAATAGACTATTAACATCTATGTCAAGAATACGGTATTTGTGCAATTTCCATGCACTATCAGCTAAAATCAAATCCATTGTAAATGGAGAACGATTTTCGTCTAATAGTAATACGTAGCCAAGGCAAATTTTACAACAAACTTTACACTTAATTTCATATTTACGTAAGCATTCCAAAAACTGATCAATATTAAAATCGTTGTCTGGTAAATCACAGTCTATATCATTCGGTACGAATTCCTTATTCAAATGTGGCATCTGTTATTGACCATTTTTGTTGTCGCAGTAACTAGTGTATGTAAGCCGTGTAGATGGATCACTATCCATAGCTGGTCTTGATGAATAATCGCCCACAATCCAGTCACGTACAAAACTGCCAAAGATGTGACAGTTAAATTTGCAGACGGCAATCCATTCAACTACTTCCATACGTGTTTCGCGTGTCGCAAGTGGACCATTTAGTGCCGATAATAAATCGTCAATCTTACGCTTACTATCAGTAACACGAGCTATATGTTCTTTAATGTCACAATATTGTCGACGTATAGAGGATCTTAATCTACGTGGTGCAACAGCTATAAAGAAAGTTCAGGGGATATTAACACTCTAAGTTATAGCACTAGGCTTAGAATAGCCTAACTTATCTTGAACTATTATCCTATGTACTGGAGTCCACAAGAGTAGAAAGCTAAACCGTCGCGCTGTATGCAACGTTTTTAGAAATAGTTGGCAGGTTTATAAGTCGAAAAGTTTATCAAATCAAGGGTAGAGTAAAGTAAACAGGATTTATTAGTTTATGATTTAATAAAGAAGTTTTATTGTTCTACCGTCACGATAGATTATATTACGGTCTCAGAAAAGAGTATAGTGCCCAATACTTATGAAAACATATTCGAGTAACCTTTCTTTCCAAAGTCTCGCGAGCAGAATTCTGCTATTCCATGTACGATGTCAATCTATATTCCTAGCTCGAATCACTCTATCCGAAAATTTTAAAATTTTATTTCAAGTAATTCTCACATTACATTATTCTGAAGTATCAAAAAAATTCATCCGATGTTCTAGAATAACCTTGTTTCTGTATGATGCATCTAAAATACTCCACAATAAGCATGTAGCTATTTCATTACAACGAAATATTTCAAACTGTTCTTTATATTGAGACCGGCATGATATTGACACATATCTGCTTTTCCTCTGAGTTTTCAGCCCAATAATGCAGCACAGCTTTAAATTATATGAACAGAGACTGAACAAACATGTTTCTTTAGTGTGCGATTTGTACTGACCCTTTTTTCAACATCTACACGCTAAAATAATATATATTGCATTTATCTGTCGCTAGTTATAGTGTCGCGGACTCTAAGACGAAAATGTACCGTAGTCAGAGTGTTTTGTGATCTGTCTACTAATAATTCATGCATCATTCTGCTTTACGCATACAGCTGCACATAACCAACTCAATTGAACATATTGAACTTGCATATATTCGTTTCTTTTTTTAAAAGACTACTTCTTGATTCAAACAAACTTGAGACGGCTAGATCTAAAGACCTGATCGCTTTCAGTTTTAAGTAGAATTATTATTAACTGAAATCAAACAGAAAAATTAGTAATTATTTGTCTCTACAGACAAAATAACAAATGCGCTGAAGATTGGATTCAAACCACGTTTTCAAAATGTGTCGAATGTGTTACAAAGCACGACATATGCAACGCATTTTATTTTAGTGTGTACCATGTGATAAGAAACTTATCTTTCGTGTAGTTCGTTTCACACTTGCTATCTTATATACGGCATTTAACGATCCATATTAACTTATTTATTTTGAAACTAGTTTCGAAACAGCAGCCCATACGATTCCGTTTCCCCTAATCAAGTAAAATATTCTTTCGTTTTCGTTCAGCTATGGCTGCCAACTATATACTTCCCATTAGCTCTTAGTAAACAAAAATGTTGTCCTAATTCGAGCTTATGGAAAAACATGCCAAGCTTATAAAGCCATTCGTAATTCCTTTTATGCGGGATTATGAAAATCAATTATCCTTTCATAGATTCTTGGGAAGGATGCATGAAAGGGTTGGTGAAAATTTCACATACATGAAACAAGGATTAATTATGCGCTGCATTTTCATAAATCCTTGCAGGCTTCATTATTGTACAATTTTTTGTTTTTGGTATGGTTCATGCTTGTGAAGTTTCTGATGAGAAGCACTAAGAATTGGTGCGATTTCAGTTAAAACCATTATTGTCGGCTAGACCTAAAGTGAGCTCTGCGAAAGAGAACCCGATATTTTGGATAGATATTGAATAGCTGAATGGTTTGTTTTTGTCATGGATGAAGCAATATTCATAAGGCATAAGCAAGGATCGTCGATTTGAGCTTAGCCAAGAAAGATTTGCGTCGATGGCAAAGTCAAATTTCAAACAGGATTTATCATAGTTGATCCTGACAGTTCAATATTTGTCGCAGGTAGACAGTCAGTATGTGAGAGCGGGTTGGTAGTTACATAAAGAGAAGATGCTCACCAACACCCACAAGCATATCTACGAACCGTTCTAATTAGATAATTCTCTTCCATGTTTTTTATTTTTGTGTTTAAATACTCTTGCACCTCGATTAGTCTGTTTCTTTTCGGTGTTTGATTCCATATTATAATTAAAATAAGACGTTATGTTTAAATTGAACAATAAAACGTATGATATCAATAGAAATTGTAATGTCTATAGTGAATTCTATAAATTGCTATTCATTCTCTGCTGCTTAAGTGAATTGATTTTGTCGGGCAAATGCTTTCATGTGCATCTATATGTATGTGCCTTCTTTTTATATTACGTTTTCTTTCTTTTTCTCTCTTCTGCCTTTTTTCCTCTTTTTTCTTCATCCAGTCATTTTTCGTATTGTTTTATACTTTCTTTTTTCGCTTTCCCTCTTTAGTTTCTTTTCTTATCCTTTTGGCTATTTCTTTTTTATTTCATAAGCTTTTTTTCTTGTTCACGATTTTTCTGTCCTCTATTGCTCAAAGTGTCATATTGTAGACGACTCCAGGTTCTTTCTTGTAACATTCTAAAGCTTTTCTCTTTTCTCCAAATTCCTATGTCAGTGGTTCCAAGCGTAAAAATAAACAGCAAAATCTAAAAACAACTCTATCAATTGGTATTCATTAAAAATAAATAGTGAAACTACATATTTAACAAATTCTATTAGTTGCAGATAGCCAAAAGTAAGAGTATGTGAACAAATTTTCTTAAAACTTTTAATAAGTAAATTTCCAAGAATTTAAAAAAACGAAAATTTCAAACTTTGCACTGTTTCACTCAAATAATTTTAATCAAAAATAAAAGCATGTAAATTGAGTAAAACGATTCTTCAATTGCGATTTTATGTTTGCACATCACAGTACATGGAGTAAGTAAATTGTGCACAGCTCTTTGTTTGCTTTTTTTTATTTTATTTTAGTAGAAAAAAAAATGGCAGAAAGAAAAAGAAAAATTCCATTTAGTCCATACATTTTTTTTCATTGCAATCGATAGTTGTACATAGCAACCTTTCTCGTTCTCACATAACTGTATACGTTACTCACAATTCAATAAAAATTCATTTCAAGGGCACAAGCATCACATTCTCATATACACACAGCTCGATTTAGACACAGTAATGAGTGACAACAAGTGGCCACCACCCTCCCCATTGGCTATCGATGGTTTGAATAAGTTTCTTTCCATATTCGATCATAGCTTTATCCACTCCGCTATTTGGACATTTACGCAGCTGAATATTGCCGATGAACTGGCAAAGGTCGAATCGAGTAGTGCCAAAGAAATATGCGAACGAACTGGTTGGAAAGATGTCGATCGACTTCATCGTCTTTTGAATGCGGCCATCGTGGCTGGACTTGTAGAAGCAACAGAGACTAGTCGATTCACACTTACATCAACTGGACGCCTTTTGACCACCGATCATCCATCCAAGGCTCGCTCTTTTGTTTTGGAAAGTAAGTCTACAACATGTACATTTTGAGAGAAAACACAAACAAGAAACTATACTTTAAAGAAAAATAAACGATAGCTCTCATTAAGCCAGTCTTCCCTCAGTTTGCCATTTCCACATTTTAAGATCGATTTTACTGAAACATTCAGCATTGGAGAAGATCCTTAAATGAAACAAAAATAGTCCAAACTTTAAGCTCAAAATAAAATCAAGTTACATGTCCCAATTGACCTTCCCACTGGCAACACTAATTCACACAGTTTTCATCATAGAAAGCATGTTGCAAAAATTGCATCTAACAAAATTTGTGCTTGGTTTTGAGCTTTCAAATAAAAACGATCATCGATCTCCATTAAGATCTTCGAAAAAACCTATGGATGCGAATACGGGTGTCAGCATGCGTGTTTACCTATCAGTTTTAGTAAGTTTGAGGATTTTCAAATCACTCACACTCACTTAGATTCACATTCACACTCACCCCTGCGTCATTGTTACGTGGATACTTCATCTTCGCTCGAGTCTAACTTCTTCTGGAATAAGCAACACATCCAAGAATGTGAAAGGGAGAGTCAAAGAAGTGAAACTAAGTGGAGAAAATAAGCGGTGAATGGAATGATTGATGTCTGTTCCATAGAGTGAGCAGATGTAGGAGCTACAGAAATTTTTCTGAGGAATCATATTGCTCTTTCGGAATACATCTGTTTAATGATTTATTACAAGTGTGAGGATGCAGACCGGAATAAACATCAAAGATGGAATCGATTAGATTTGGAGTTTTTAAAAACCTAGATCGGTTCGGTTGGAATAAAACGTGAACCAATCTCATATAAAACTGATCCTTTAATAGAGTGTCTCAAAAGTCATTATCTCTGTATAAATGCATTTAATTCCACCTTTGATCAAGTTTAATCCAAAACGTTTTTCTATTTGAAACAGGAAACTACAATAGTATAATTTTTTTAGAAGCTAAGTTTGTCAACATTGTAGAAAAGATAGCGCTTCAGCTACAACTTAAAAGTTAGGCTTTTGTTTGATGTCGATAACAATATGTGCTGTTTTTTATTGATATTAACTCAAACTTTTCTCGTTATTATGAACTTCAGATGATCTATATCTATAATAGTTCCTTTGTAGTCATTAGTTTGACATGTTTCAAAACGATCGAATTTTTCATTTGTGATTCTTCGAAAACTATAATAGACGTAGAAACAAACATGTTACAGCATTTTATAGTTCATCTGTAATTAAAATTGGCCTCTAGCCTTT